TTGCAATTTAAAAGGCAAGAAAGAAAATAAAATCAAGTCAGATGTTTAAGCTAAGAGTACCCTGCTGAAGCCTTGCAGCTCTCCTCTCACTTCACATCCTGTTGAAACTCACAGTGAGGGGATTGTTCTGAGTAAACAGCTTCAGGTTGGTCAAAGGGCGGAGAAATGGCCCACCACAACCTTTATCAGTGTAGCTGTTGCGTGGAGCTTTGCTTTGCTTGCTCTTCTCATGAGAAAAACGAAGGCTTTCTATCTTTATGCTGTTAGACCAGTGAGAACAACTGGATTGCTTCAACAATGTATAATACTGTGCTTTTATTTCCAATTTTTAGAAGGTTTTGGTGGACACATACATAACATTATGACATTTGCATATGGCAAGAAACCAAAAATAAAAAAGGTTATTTTCATAATACTGGTGAGGCAGGTGTTACAAAGACCAAGTCTTTATTTTCCTTACAGTCTAACAATGGACGACACAAAAAGATCAGCACCACTTTGTAAAAAGAGAGAAGCAAGTATACACATTCATTGACGAGGTAAAGTTAAATTGTTGGAATTTTTATGGTATTGTCAAGGTTCTGCGTCATTTTGACCCAGTGTTTTCACTTTCCGTACCCGGACCGTGACAGGTATACCACAAACAGAAAGAAGTGATAGCAGGATAGGGTTGCAAGTGGAGGAGTGAGCAGAGGAAAATCTCAGTTCTTATGCAATTTTTAAAAGGTTTTGCTTTGTATGTCAAATGTCTTTTATGAATTCATAGTTGATTTCTCTAGTAAAAGAAAAGGGTGAAGTAGAATCAGAGTAGCAGCCGCCAGGCCTATCAGAAGTCCTGTTGTCAAGGCACCAATCAGCTCCTGAGTCAACCAATGTCAAGCACTCCCCAGAGACTTCTGTTCCTCTGCCTGAGCCTACCTTCTTGGTTACTGCCTCTTTTGCATGAGCTAGTCACCCCTGAAACTGGCTATCTTCCAGTCTGCTAGTGGAGCTCTGTATCTGCTGGTCCCCTGTCTAACCTCCAGAGAGGCCCTGCATCATTCATTGCTGGCCACCTTCTCGTCCACAAAAGGGTTTCTGCTGCCAGCTGTCCACCTTGCTTCATCGTCGGAAACCTCTTTAACCTCTTCAGGATTTAATTTATGTTAATATAAGTAAATATACTGTCCTAGGAAACATGTGTGTAGGATAAGAAATACAGAAAGTGTTGTGTTTGCAACATTTCAGAGATGCATAAGGATAAAAGAGCCAATCAAGAAGATTCGATTCAACGTTATTGTCAAAGAACAGTTACAAACTTCATATTATCAATGATAACCCACCCAGTCTGCTTAAGCAGGAAGAAACACATGCAGCAACGTACAGAGTTGGGGAGGTGGTTGTGGTCTCCATCCACTATACTCACTTCACAACACTATTCTTAGTGTTACAAAACTACGTTTACTGAAAGTGATGAGAACTTTTGACTCAAGTGAGGCACATGTACCAGTGTAACACACAAATGTTATATGAACTTGGGTGAAAAAAACAAAACAAACCTAAAAATAAATAAGACAGCTGGTCTTAAGTCTGCTGATGATTAGACCTTTGACACATAAATATTCCATGCAATTCAATCAGTTAGTTTACTGTAATTTTCCTGTCAGCATGTGGTCACATCGTGTACAGCTGCATACAGAAAAAAAACTTTTGCATATTTTAAAGCATAGCACCAATAATCAATTATTATTTTGTTTTGTTAGCTAAGACAAGTAGATTTTATACATGGAAACTTAAGCACTGCTGTGGTTGGGCTTTCAAACAAGGTCATGAATGCAAAGGGGCTTTCCTTCCAGCTACTTTTATCTATTTTAGGAAGCTGCCATAACACTACACCATGTATGACTCATATTCATATCAAAACAGGAGCTGTCAGATGTTATGAGATAAAGGGACACGTGCACACATTCAGATCTGCTTGGTCATTCTGTGATCTAACTGTGGTAGGGTGTTTTTCATTGGCAGTTATAAAGAAGTGAGGAGAGGCGCTCATCATTCACTGGTCCCAGAGCAGGCTTTTCAAATGATTTGATAAATTAAAAACAAAAAAGTACGTTTGACATCCTTACCAATTTACCAATGCCCATCACGTAACACAGTGATGGACGTTCAGCCTGTCTAAATCAACAGCTACTGAAACAGTTATATTACATGAATAAAATTTGTATTAAAATCATACTATATATTACTTTATTGCAGATGCAGCAGGTGCTGGTTTTGATTTTGTTTAATCATTAGAAAGACAGACACAGTTTTTCAGTGTACATAGGCAAGATAACAAGTTTAAACTAACATAACATAAAATCAGCCCTGCTTAAGTGCTTTGTAGCTCTTCTCTCACTTTATGTCTCATAGTGGCTCATAGTGAGATCTGTGCTGGGTAAACAGCTTCAGTGATTGGCCACTGAAGAAATGGCCTATCACAAGTGTCGTTTTTGTCAGTGAAGCTGTTGAATGTTACTTTGCTTTTTATTGTCTTGACTTGTGGAGACAACTGAAGCCATAGCTGGAAAATATTGTCACAAAGAAATTCAGACTTAAAACAAATTAGTCTTTAACATTAATTATAGTTAAAAGCTGAAAATGTGCCATGCTCTTGAATTTACTGACAAATTAGCAAGGGGACGTTGTGCCTCTGCATGAATTTCTTTTTTGCTGTTACCTTAAGATTTGACATGGGCATTTCAGAAAATAATGACGATATGAGAAAAAAGTTCTGATATGTACATATGAAGCTCTAGCTCAGTGACTAATAACACTTTTATATGTGCTTTTTTAATATGACAAAGAGCATTTTTTTTTCTAATAGGTAGCAGAAATAATTACAAAATTAAGAAATTAAAGAAATTACTTTGTTTAAAAGTCAGGCAAAATTACTCTATGGTTGATTTATGATTTAAGTAAATACTTACTTATTATATTCCAAGAAAACCATAAAGCATTATTTACGCTACCGTTTAGGTGTGCAGACCTGACAGCGTTACTCGTTTGTCAGGTCTAGTTTAAAAACACCAAACTGCTGACAGCAATAACACTCTACTCATAGAATTTTAATGAAACTTAAACAATCAAAACGCTAATGTTACAGTAGTTTGATCCATCTGTTGGGGTAATACTCAAAATAAAGTAATGTATTATATATTAATTGTTACTTTTATTAAAAGTAATGCAGTACTTTATTTAATATCTAATATAATATCTAAGAATGCTATTCATTACACATTACTTTTGTGTTACACCATAACATGTATATCAGGGGTCCCCAACCCCCGGCTACAGACGTTTGGTACAGTTGAGGCTCGGGTGTGAAATTTATGGTTTTCAGGGTTTTTATCGTTAACTGGGTTTACCTGGGTCTTTTCACGTGCTGTAGTTGTGTGTCTTATTTTGAAAGAAATGTTTACGTGTTACCATGGTGACCAGAGAGCATTAAGAAACAGAGAGGAAATGCTTCTCCTGAAATGTGCCAACTCTCAATGTTGTTGGCGCAACATTTTAAAAAGGTTTTGCAGCTTGAATTCGTGTTTATTATAATATTTACAAAATACCACAGTTCTTGTCTTGGTCGTATCATTTTATTTTGTTGTATTTATCCGTGACACCTTAAAGGCCGGTCCATGAAAATACTGTTTGTCATTAAACCGGATCGGTGCCGCAAAAAGGACCGCTGATGTATATGACACGAAATACCACAGACCCACCCATTAACAGCAGCAATAGGGTGAGGAATACCTCATAGGGACATGGATAGAATGTTTATTTTAGTGTTTATGTAGGAACAAGAAACTAAGAACACAAAGCAAAGTTGAAAACCAGTCCAAAAAGAAGAAAAAGAAGTGATCACCATAGTTACTCTATAATAGAAACATACAGGAGAAATGGAGGCTACAATTCTAGAAGCTTTAATGCTCACCACTGTTTCCTTTACCTGCTAGAGCGAATGACTGAGCTTAGTAATCCAAGAAGGCTCAAATCATTGATTTCAATCCAAGAAATCAGTGAAGTTTTGTTTAGAGAAGCAAGCATACTGTGAAAAAGTGGTTGCTCCTCACTTTTTCACATAGGGCCAAGTAGGTTTCGATTTTTTCCCCACTTAAATAATGAACGCCTTCATTTAGAAACTGCATTTTGTGTTTAATATCGTTGAATATTTCAAGTTTTTTTTACTGATCTGAAACATATAAGTTTGACAAACATACAAAAAATTGGAAATCCGGAAGGGTGACAAGAACTTTTTCCACCCTACTGTATCTCAGTTTGTGGTGTCTAATAAAATTGTTTGATCACAGGTGGATATCTGGCCTAATTGAGCAAATATAGTCAGAAAGCTTCCTGTTTAGGGCTTAACACAGGTACAACAGGGTTGTGTGTACATTAAGAAGTGAAACTAAAGTAAGAAAACTTACCGTGAACTAATTCTAATCTGTTTTTAAGTGATCATAAACAGTTTGCACGGTCAGACATGACCCTACATCAACTGCAGGTATATTCATGATTTTTATAGAAAAATCGTGAAATTAAAGAAGTGAAAATGATTTTGTGAAACTTTTGCATCTTTGTATCCTTATATTTGTGCTGGTACACACAACATAAACCATCATTTAAATACTAATACAAAGTGGCAAAGTAGTATCTTCTGATGTTAAAGATTTACAGAGCTTGTGACTAACAATGATCAACTAATAATTACAGAAACAATAACTTCCTTAATAAGTGCCTTAATAAAGACACTGAGAACTGATAACACACTGCTACCAGAAGGTACTAAGAAAGACATACTTTTATGTCATTTGATATAAGACGTCTTTTATCAAATGAAAATTGATCAAAGGTTTGCTGAATGGGGGAGGGGTAATTTCCTACATTTCAGCCAATCACTGATTTCCTTTATAACCTTGTGACTAAACCTTCCATATGGGCAAGATGAGATCAGTAGCGTGAGACTAGAGTGCTGCACCACGATGATTGTGAGAATAACAGCTTTGGTTCTTCTTTGCGCACCAGGTAAGTGCAAAATATGATGGGAGACATCTGCTTGCACTACACTGTTCATGAAACCCATCGTGCATCTCAGTGATGGCTGTGTAACAACCTTTCTAATGTAATAGCATTGATTATGTCCATTTGTGTTGTAACTCTGTTGTTATTTGTCTTTCTTCTTCAGCTGTGATTCAAACTACAGAGGTTCCTCAGTTGATCTCTTTGACTGTTGTTGACCTTGGTGACAATGTTACTTTTGGCTGTGAGGTCTCTGAGAAGAAGTTAAGATCCTTTGATTGGTATAAGCAGTCTCTGGGACACTTGCCCCAAAGTGTTGCTTCTGTTATTCTTGACAAAATAACTTTGTCTGATGCATTTAAAGATTCACGTTTCACATTGAACAAAGATATATTTACTATCAGAAATGTCAGCAAAGAGGATGAAGCAACATATTTCTGTCAAACGCGGACCACATATACACAGATGTTCAGCAGTGGCACATTCTTGGCTGTGAAAGGTAATATGTTTCCCTTTTTGTACCAATGTCTGAACAGTTCAGTGATACTGACGCAAATCAGTTTAATCAATTACGAAAAGTTTATATTACATCTGCCTTAATTCACAGATCACAATCATCAGAAATCTGTCTACGTGAAACAAAATCCAGAGAAAGAGTCTGTTCATCTGGGAGGCTCTGTGACACTCGAATGTTCAGTTCTCTCCAAGAACAAAGAAAAAGCACTCCAATGTCCAGATGACCACCGAGCGTACTGGTTCAGAGCTGGATCTGAAAGTTTTGCTCCAAACATCATTTACCCTCTCGTGAACAACAGTGATGAAGCTCTTAAGAGACGATGTGTCTACAGCCTGACCAAAACGATACAGAACTCCTCTGATATCGGGACTTACTACTGTGCTGTTGTGACATGTGGGGAGATCCTGCTGGGTGAAGGAACTAAGGTGGAGACACGTATGTATCTGTATTTGTCTTTAAATCTTAAATTATCTTGCATTAAAGTATAAAACACTTACTAAGAGATCAGAAACATCAGACTAAGTACTGTAATGCAATGTTATTAATTCCATGCAGCACAATGCTTGGGATAGTCTCTAAATATCACACTTTATTCAAGTTACATAGTACAGACAAATGTAATGCACCACTGCTCGTTTCATCTAGCCTTCCAGAACTCTAATCTTTGAGTTATCTAAGGTTAATGGTTTAATCTTAATAGTTATCATTTCACTTTAATTGCCACAGGTACATAAAACAAAAAAACAAAGCACACTCCATGCAGTCTGCCTTCACAAACATTTTTGAAACACCAGATTGTTCTTACAAAATTATTGAATTCAAGCATGGTACTGTAATAGGATGCCACAGTGACAACAGTTTGTGAAATTTCTTTCCTCCTACATGCTCCAGTATAAATGTTTTTATTGCAGTGGAAGTAACAAAGCCTCAAAGTGGCAAACCACATAAAGTTACAGTGTGGGGTTGTTGAGTGTTGAGAAGCATAGTGCATAGTGCATAAAAGTCACCAATGCTTTGCAGACTCAATAGATGTTCCAAACTTCCGCAAGCACTAACAGCAGCACAAATACTGTGCTATGAATACAAATACTCATCATAAGCTGTCTCTAGCTCTACAAAAATAGAATATTGTTCGTTATAAGAACATTTCTGCAACAACTGATGAATTCCATGATCACATATTAAATTAAACAGTCTCTCTCTCTCTCTTTTGACTAATGTAGGACCAGGACTAGGCCCTGTTGTCCTTATTCTTGGAGTTCTGCTAGGTTGTTGCATTTCTGTGATTGTGCTTCTTCTTTTGTACCCCAGAGGGATAAATGTTTGTCAGCATTGCAAAGGTGGGTTTATCATAACTCTGTGTGTGTGTGTGTGTGTGTGTGTGTAAAGATAGATTTTTAAACTAAAATTATGTTTAAGATCCAAATATTTGCTTCACTTTATCATACCAGGACAACAACAAAAACACAGGATTACAATAAAAATAAATCACTGCATTTATATAACCTTGTTACACAATTCTTGTGTGAGTAAACACTCAGTGGAACACTTGTAGTCATCTTCTTCCCTTTGTGTTTTCCTATGTTTCACTTTGTAGAAGTAGATGTGTGTTTGAAAAGCAAAAGTTGTCATATCACAACATTGTATTGCAAAAATAAATACTAAAGATCCATCGCTTAAAACTTCTGTTTTAATGTTACCACACTATTATTCCAATCATATCCCCAAATCGTATTGCTTTAGGGGAAATACGTGGGACCAATCATGCTGGATGTGATGTGTCAAATGTGGGCCAATCAAATGATTTGGTAAATATGCTTTTACTATATATTCTGCAGCATGGTTTTGGAAAAGAGATTAGCAATTTCATACCCACAACATATAATAAAGATATCACAATGTCTTGTTAAATTTGTTACAATACAAAGTGCTGGAATAAAGTTAATTGGTGCACATACAGTTAGTTTTACAAATGAAATTGTAGAATTATTTACGGGATTAATAGAACAAACCAAACCCGTACCATTAGAGATGGAGGCTTTAGAACTGAACATCTTAACTGTGTTGACTGTATTTTTAATCTAGTGTCACCTGAAGACCTGGAAATCACCAGCCTCCAATATTGATTTTCTGACTTGTCCCTTTACATTGAGAAACATTATTTGGAAATTATTCCACAATTTGTAGACCTATTTCGTGAAACTGCCCATCTTTACTTCTGAGAGACTTTAATTAAAGCTGAAAATATGCACTTACTTGATTTAAAATCCACTTTGATAGAAGTAAAATTACTGAAAAATTTCATTGCGCAAAAGCCTATCGACCCAACACATAGAAATGCTGATTAAAAATTCTTAGATATATTGCAAAATATTAGAATAATCTTGCAAGTTTTTTTAAAATAGTAGTAGATATATTGCACATATGTAATTTCTGACTATTCCAATAATCTTACTTGAGTTGAAGTTGATGACATAAATTCTAAAATACCTGTAATTTCAGATGATGACTGATGCTACAGTCCATTACTCCTCAGTGAGAGTAAACAGAGTGAACAGGAAGAGGAGAGAGTCAACACAAGACTGTGTGTATGCTGCTGTTAGACAAGATTCCCACACTCAGCGGCAACCATCAGCATAAGCCAAGAAGGGCAGGAGTTGTAGTCCTTTAACTCATTCACTGCCATTGACGTCTATAGACGTCAATTACGTTTTTCAATGGGAGGGGCTAGAATACAACCTCGGGCAGCTTGTCAGTGAACATCAGACTGCTTGAAATGTATTTTTCACAAAAAGCTCGTTTTCTCCCTTTTGTGGTCAAAACGGCATTTTTGGTGGAACCCACCTCTCTTCTACAGCTGATTACTAAAGAATGGAAAATGGTAGAAACAAGCTTTTTTTTTGGATGACAGAAGAGAGTCTGTTCTTCATTTTGGTAGGTTCAGCGTTTATATGATCATAACACACAGTTTTCTGTGGCTCTTCAAAAATGAGTAAAAATGCTCAAAAACCCTGGCAGTGAATGAGTTAATAGACGCTGTGGCCTTTCAAATATGTGTTAAAATAAACAATTCCAATAAAAGTGTTTTTTTTTTCTAAAAAACAAACAAACATGTTGTTCAGCTGATTCTATGGAAACACAACCTCTGGTTACTTTTATTGACTGCAACATAAGCTATGGTAGTATTTTTGGGCCCAACAAAACATGTTGTATAATTCACATTTGGTATACCCAAATAATTGTGTAAAAATATCAAACTAAATAAATTCCATTGGCGCATTAAAGTGTTGAGTGGATTTCTATGATTCTGAAATCACGTTTTTTCTGATCGGGGGGCGGCCATCTGCTGCGACCGGTTGGGGTGACAGAAGGAAAACAGGATAACATGCTGTGGAAGAGAGACGGAGAATTATAACAGGTGTGATTCAATGCGGAGAGGTTTATTAACACATAGTGAGTGAGAAAGGTGACTGGAAGGAAAAACTCAATGCATCATGGCCAGTAGCAGCTTTTGATACGGGTGACACGGGCGGTTTCCCGGGGTGGCATCGTGGTTCGGGGCGGCATCACTGGCACCGGCAGAAAAAAAAACATTTTGCTCGTACTCACGCTGCCCCGACATCAGCCAGCGCATTTTGGGAATGGCATAGGCACCGATCGGTTTTCTATCGCCCATGCTGGGAGTAAGGGCGCCCTCCGTTTGCCAAACTGGAAGCTGGTTCCACAGAAGAGCCTGAAAACTGAAGGCTCTGCCTCCCATTCTACTTTTAAATACTCTAGGAACAACAAGTAGGGCTGCAGAGCAAGAGCGAAGCGCTCTAATAGGGTGATATGGTAAATGGCCTGCATTTGTATAGCGCTTTTCTAATCCCTAAGGACCCCAAAGCGCTTTACATATCCAGTCATCCACCCATTCACACACACATTCACACACTGGTGATGGCAGCTACATTGTGGCCACAGCCACCCTGGGGCGCACTGACAGAGGCGAGGCTGCCGAACACTGGCGCCACCGGGTCCTCTGACCATATGATATGGTACTACAAGGTCATTAAGATAAGATGTTTATTTAAGACCTTGCTTGTGAGGAGCAGGATTTTGAATTCAATTCTGGATTTAACAGGAAGCCAATGAAGGGAAGCCAAAACAGGAGAAATATGCTCTCTCTTGCTAGTCCCTGTCAGGACTCTTGCTGCAGCATTTTGGATTAGCTGAAGGCTTTTCAGGGAGTTTTCAGGACATCCTAATAATAATGAATTACAGTCGTCCAGCCTGGAGGTAATAAATGCATGAACTAGTTTTTCAGCGTCACTCTGAGACAGGATATTTCTAATTTTATAGATGTTGTGCAAATGGAAGAAAGCAGTCTTACATATTTGTTTAATATGTCCATTGAGGGCCATGTCTTGGTCAAAAATGACTCCAAGGTTCCTCACAGCGTTACTGGAGGCCAAGGTAATGCCATCCAGAGTAAGAATCTGGTTAGAGACCACATTTCTAAGATTTTCAGGGCCGAGTACAATAACCTCAGTTTTATCTGAATTAAGAAGCAGAAAGTTAGCGGCCATCCAGGTCTTCATGTCTTTAAGACATTCCTGCAGTTTAACTAATTGGTGTGTGTTATCTGGCTTCATAGACAGATAGAGCTGGGTGTCATCTGCATAGCAGTGAAATTATACCTATACTATCAGTGAAATTGTATATGTCTTCTAATGATACTGCCTAAGGGAAGCATGTATAATGTAAACAGAATTGGTCCTAGCACTGAACCCTGTGGAACTCCATAATTAACCTCAGTGTGTGAAGAGGACTCTCCATTTACATGTACAAATTGGAGTATATTCAAGGTTCAAGGTTCAAGGTTCTTTATTTGTCACATGCATAGTTATACAAGTATAACACACAGCCTGACACGCTCCTCGACATGTGCAAAAAAATTGTGGGGGGGGGGGGTGTAGAGGAAGAACATTATATATATATATATATAGTGTATGCATTGGGTGAATGTGCAGTAGTAGCAGCAAGCAGGTGAATTCTGTACATTAATATGAATAGACATCTGACTATTTTACAGGATGGACAATATAAACATATTTAAAATTAAAGGAATTGAAATGTACATTGTGCCTTGGCTTAGTGTATTAGGTTTTAGGCATTAGGTTTAGTATATTAGATAGATATGATACAAACCACTGCAGTGCAGTACCTGTAATACCTACAGCATGTTCTAATCGCTCTAATAGGATATTATGGTCGACAGTATCGAACGCTGCACTGAGGTCTAGCAGGACAAGCACAGAGATGAGTCCACTGTCAGAGGCCAGAAGAAGATCATTTGTAACCTTCACTAAAGCTGTTTCTGTGCTGTGATGAGCTCTGAAACCTGACTGAAACTCTTCAAATAAACCTCTGCAGATGATCTGTTAGCTGTTTGACAACTACTCTTTCAAGGATGTTTGATATGACAGGAAGGTTGGAGATTGGCCTATAATTAGCTAAGACTGCTGGGTCTAGAGATGCTTTTTGAGTAAAGGTTTAACTACAGCCAGCTTGAAGGCCTGTGGTACATAGCTGATTATTAGAGATAGATTGATCATATTTAAGATTGAAGCATTAATTAATGGCAGGACTTCTTTGAGCAGTTTTGTAGGAATGGGGTCTAAAAGACACGTTGATGGTTTGGAGAGTGTTTTCACATGGACAGATGTACAAACAGATACTCACAGACACGTACTAAGCAGATTCTTAGTGTTTCTTCTCTCTCTCCTCTATTTTTCTCTCCCTTTCCTTTTGTTGACTGGCCTGCAGGATTCCCCAACCTTATAAACAATATTTTGGCATACTGACCGAAACTAGCACCATTGATTAACTGATTGACAATGAGCTATGAGATCAGTTTTAAGATCAGCTGTCGTGAGTACCATTCACAGAGTGTTGGGGAATGGCTACAGTCACAGCATTATAAGATAGTGAAAGCTGTACCCTGGGCCTCCTCCTCCTGTTTCATAGGAATGAAACAAAAATCATGTCAGGGGTAACCAAATTGTTGTGTTCAGAATTTTTGGAAGGAATCTCAGGAGAAAGGTTGGTCTTTTAAAAAAATAATTTACTTTGCTTTTGGCAGTTGAAATTACAAGTTTACACGGCACTGTGGACCTCTATGTGAACCAGCAGCATGTTTTACAAAAAGGATGACCCTCAAGTGAGCTGTACAACATTATATAGTGAGACAAAAACATAGATTATAGCAGCCATCTTCCTCCCGCACGGAGATGGCAGTCTTGGTGTCTGCTCCAAATCATCCTCGTATTTCCGTGACCTCATCTGGTATCTGCTCTCTCGTCTGTAAGAGAAAGAAAAGCAAAACACCTCTCTGCCTAGCCTTGTTAATCTAATGTTAATATCCATTGTTCTTCTAGCGATTCAAAGTTGGTTTAGAATATCATGTTCGGGACTCTCTGACCCAGAGTCTTATTCTAATCATAATCTATGTGTGTAAGCATACACTCAGAAAAATAAAGGTGCCAACTGGAACCAAAAGTGGTTCTTTAGACTGATGCCATAGAAGAACCTTTTTTGGTGCCACAAAGAACCTTTCAAACAATGGTTCTTTGAAGAACCATTTCTTTCAGTGGTTCATTGAAGAACCTTTAAAGGTGCCCCAAAGAACCATCAAGAAATGGTTCTTTGGGGCACCTTTAATGGTTTTTCAAAGAACCTTTTTAAAAATGGTTCTTTAAAGAACCATTTTTAAAAAGGTCCTTCAAATGGTTCTTTAAAAGAACCATTTTAAAGAACTTTTTTTGAGTGGTTCTTTAAAAAACATTTTAAATCTTTCAAAATAAAATGCATCATAAATTGAATTTGAGTAGGGTAAAAATAAATACGAGCACAGCATAGACATATATTAATGGTTTATTGTCATTTTGTAGTTACCAAAAGACAAAAAGGCATTTTAACCCTCAGCACAACATCACTACTAATACATGTCACATATTAGTGTTTTAAACAGTAATAATTAAATATATTTGCTATACTATAAATAAATATATATATAAATACTATAGCTACAGATAACACAACAATACATGTATTGTTTAATTAATAAAACATCAGAAAGTGATAAAACACATTAGAAATAGCAATAGCTTCATAACAGACCAATAAATCAACACATTTTCATCAGCAGATGTTTGCATGTTCAGTAACAATATTTCAACAAGTTTATGATTAAAATGATCAATGAACTTTAGCATTACGCTATGTAATGTACGTTTCATGTTGTACTCATGGTCCTTTGTTAGTCCAGTTTAGGATAATGTCTCTGACGTATGTTTCATATCAAATACAGGGAGTGCAGAATTATTAGGCAAATGAGTATTTTGTCCACATCATCCTCTTCATGCATGTTGTCTTACTCCAAGCTGTATAGGCTCGAGAGCCTACTACCAATTAAGCATATTAGGTGATGTGCATCTCTGTAATGAGAAGGGGTGTGGTCTAATGACATCAACACTCTATATCTGGTGTGCATAATTATTAGGCAACGTCCTTTCCTTTGGCAAAATGGGTCAAAAGAAGGACTTGACAGGCTCAGAAAAGTCAAAAATAGTGAGATATCTTGCAGAGGGATGCAGCAGTCTCAAAATTGCAAAGCTTCTGAAGCGTGATCATCGAACAATCAAGCGTTTCATTCAAAATAGTCAACAGGGTCGCAAGAAGCGTGTGGAAAAACCAAGGCGCAAAATAACTGCCCATGAACTGAGAAAAGTCAAGCGTGCAGCTGCCAAGATGCCACTTGCCACCAGTTTGGCCATATTTCAGAGCTGCAACATCACTGGAGTGCCCAAAAGCACAAGGTGTGCAATACTCAGAGACATGGCCAAGGTAAGAAAGGCTGAAAGACGACCACCACTGAACAAGACACACAAGCTGAAACGTCAAGACTGGGCCAAGAAATATCTCAAGACTGATTTTTCTAAGGTTTTATGGACTGATGAAATGAGAGTGAGTCTATGGGCCAGATGGATGGGCCCGTGGCTGGATTGGTAAAGGGCAGAGAGCTCCAGTCCAACTCAGACGCCAGCAAGGTGGAGGTGGAGTACTGGTTTGGGCTGGTATCATCAAAGATGAGCTTGTGGGGCCTTTTCGGGTTGAGGATGGAGTCAAGCTCAACTCCCAGTCCTACTGCCAGTTTCTGGAAGACACCTTCTTCAAGCAGTGGTACAGGAAGAAGTCTGCATCCTTCAAGAAAAACATGATTTTCATGCAGGACAATGCTCCATCACACGCGTCCAAGTACTCCACAGCGTGGCTGGCAAGAAAGGGTATAAAAGAAGAAAAACTAATGACATGGCCTCCTTGTTCACCTGATCTGAACCCCATTGAGAACCTGTGGTCCATCATCAAATGTGAGATTTACAAGGAGGGAAAACAGTACACCTCTCTGAACAGTGTCTGGGAGGCTGTGGTTGCTGCTGCACGCAATGTTGATGGTGAACAGATCAAAACACTGACAGAATCCATGGATGGCAGGCTTTTGAGTGTCCTTGCAAAGAAAGGTGGCTATATTGGTCGCTGATTTGTTTTTGTTTTGTTTTTGAATGTCAGAAATGTATATTTGTGAATGTGGAGATGTTATATTGGTTTCACTGGTAAAAATAAATAATTGAAATGGGTATATATTTGTTTTTTGTTAAGTTGCCTAATAATTATGCACAGTAATAGTCACCTGCACACACAGATATCCCCCTAAAATAGCTAAAACTAAAAACAAACTAAAAACTACTTCCAAAAACATTCAGCTTTGATATTAATGAGTTTTTTGGGTTCATTGAGAACATGGTTGTTGTTCAATAATAACATTATTCCTCAAAAATACAACTTGCCTAATAATTCTGCACTCCCTGTATATGTCATATCAAAACAAACCCACACCTGCAGTTGTTTCAGTTTTTCACTGGTGTTTCCTGTCAGCTGGTCAACCTCACATCCATATCAGCCAACCAAATGACAAGTTCCTCCCTTTGTGCTTCAAATCCCTCCCACTCTGAGACAAGGAGCTGAAAGAGATCGAGAAAAGAGTCAATTATAAAGAAGAGAAAAGTGAAACCCTCCTCAGAAGGTCTGACTCGCATACCTGCAGTTGACCTGTGATGGACTCCAGTTTGGCGTTCACGTCATCCCTCGCCGATGCCAGCAGCCGAGTCTGCAGGGTGCCCTGGAAGAGCTCAGTTAATGTTCGACTCCTCCTGGTCAGGCTCTCCAGCTGGATGAGCTGAGGTCTCCCCTCTCACCGCTGCCTCTGAACACAGAAACACAAATTGCATCTGAAGCAGGAGGTGCAGATTTTTTTGCTATTCTTTTCTAAATCCAGGCTAGATCACGTGGAGGTATTTGGAAAACTTTTTTGGCCAGCGGACAACTGTTGTCTTGCAGAAAGTCAAATCAAACATATGCGATACACAATCAATTCACAAGAACACATTATAAAAAATAAGTCCAGTTCTTGCCTGATTTCAAGTGAAATCTGCATCAAAACAGGGTGACAGAAGTAAAACGAGAGCACAAAGCCTCACTTTTTACAAGCCTGCTATTACAGTTCTCCTCTATGCAGACGACTTTCCTGTTTTCAAGGCACAACTTGGATCTGCTGTACGAATCTTATGGATACACACTAAATGAAACAATAGTGTGCATGACTCCAGATTCTGATCCCTCATCCTAATATGGTCCCAACATAGCAACAGCAAGAAAGCAAGTCCATAAACCAATGGCTGACATGGGTTTTATCATAAGGGTGATAAATATACAAATTTCAGTCTGTCTTAGAGATTTGATGTTCATTTACCTGCAGATGCACTATACGTACCTGCTCCATGGTTTTTCACAACATTTTGCACATCACTATTTAATACAGGAAGTACGTGAACTAAAACAAGTCATCGTTCTTTGTGAGAGGACCATATTAATGAAACCAACCTCAATGACATCATAGGGATCCCTAAAGATGCTCCTGCTGCTTTTCTTCCTCCTCATCCTAAGCTTCCTTCTCCTTGTCCTCGCCTTCCATCCAATTGTAATTCAACCTAATTGTGTTTCTCCCCCTCCTCTTCCTCATTTTGTTGGAGCTGTGAACACAATTAATGTGAATCTGGATTAATTTGTGCAAACAAGAAAAATCTACAGCTTTTTGGTCAGAGGTGCTCTTGTGATTTAAGCCGAGTAGAGTAGATTTATGTGTTGATGCTACCTGCTTCAGCTCTGGCTGCTGAGTGATATTTACACCCTGGCTGGATTACAAACTTTAACCATGTGCTGAACTTTGGCCCAGCGTTGATACCTCTTGTTAGTATAACGACCTCTTCTTAGCTTGTATGTATGATGTATGATGGTGGAAAAATGAAATATACAAAAAAATTAACTATATTACAAAAGAACATCTACCTTGGAAACATCAAATGACCGGAGCATAACTTGTCAACTAGTCCGAAACTAAGTTATGCAGGAACAGTCAAAGAAACACCTTCTCATGTCACATTTATATTCATTTCTATATAATTCGATTAGACAATAAAGAGTCATCTAATCTAATTATTCATTCAAAACTCTTATGCATAGCTGTATTTTATACAGCTCATACAGAATTCAAAGTACAGGTTCATGTGAGTATTTAATGTACGGCTGAGATCTACAGAATTTCAAGAGTTTCTAGAGCAGACACAGAGCTCACGTCACAACAGGCTTCAGGCGCCATTTTAGTGACTTTAACAATATATTACATTTTAATTTCGGTCTAGCTGACATTAGGTTATGTACGCAGCACGCAATTGAACCACATATTTTAGAAGCCAAAGGTTCAAATTAGCTGGAAGCAGCTTCACTTAATTATAACAGTGGTTTTGTTAGGAAAACAGTTTCTGTATACCGGATACTAAATTGCGTTGACCTCAACGGCTAACGTATCTAGCTAATCGCTACTGTTAGCACAACATCAACAGCAAGCTACAATGACGAGTAACAAAACAAAACAGTAATAAGGTTTTAATGAAAATGTTTTACCTTTTCTAACAGTCCCAGAATCCACAGCTTCAAAGTCCAGCAGGTACTGAAGACTGTTATCCGTTTCGCTGTCACCGTCCGTGAGTTTTTTTTCCCGAAGGTCAAGGCCCGCCGCTCGCACACTCTGTCTGCGCATGCGCATCCCAACGACTGACCCCCTCCGTCCGCTCCCGGGAGGTTACAGTATGACCTGTTCTGACGTCACTCTCTCTCTACCTGTCATTTATTTGGCTCGAAACACATATTAACAAATTGATCAGTGATGAACAGCTACTCAGATCATTTACCTAAGCAGTGTGCTTTGTCAAAACGAAGTCTGTGTCCATTACACTGACATTCTGTTCTGCAATTGTTATTTACTTGTATTTTATAATTTGACTTTACATACTGCTGGGTGGTTTGTAAAGTTTACAATAACTAGTATTATCATTATGCTATATTTTCAAAAATATATAATAATCTCAAAAGTAATGCCTTGGAGTAGAAAATAGTAATGCTTTATTAAAATTTAAAACTAAAGTACAGTATTTGAATGTGTGTATTGTGTCTATTGTTTGCAAACATTTCTAACTTTTATTTGAATATTCAGTTTCCTACCATCTTCTCTTAAAGGGTAATTGCCAGGTATCCCGCCCTTCCCCTTCGCACACACATGCACACAAAGAAAACACACAGTATAATTCACAGCCTCATTATAGTGAATAAATATTTATGCCATTTACACCATCAAACTTAGATTGCTAAGGATAAAGAACCTTTTGTTCTTTAAAGAACCATTTGTAATAGCTGAAGAACCATCCACAAAATAAAAAGGTTCTTTGACGTATGATGGTTCTTTAAAGAACCATGAAGACATCTGAAGAACCATTTAAGAACCATAATTTTTCTGAGTGTACTTGCAGTTACCTCTCCGCACTGTAAGTAATTCCCTACAATATATCAGTCCGGAAAGTCACGCCGTAGTGGCCCAACACACACACACACACACACACACACACACACACACACACACACACACACACACAAACAAAAAACACCTGCATCAATCAACATAGTATTTTAATCACAGAAAGCATGACTAGCTATTACAGTCAAAAATCACATATGCAAAGTAGAAATGAAAAAAAAAAATCTAACTTTCCGGTCTTTAAAGGCCATATATTGTCACTGATGAAACAATTCAACTGTTCACAAGGAATATTTTGTAAGAAAAAAAAATAACAACACAAAAGAATCACAAATATTGGGTTTGATGTCAGGTTCAATTTAAATTTCGGGAAATCCTAAACACTGTCATTGGCATCAGCGTTTAACTTGAGAGTAAACACTATCCTCAGCAAACTCAGTCTTCCTCTTTCCCCTTGTTTTTCTTTCAGAGAAATGCAGTGCAGCATAGTTTAGTTCTTCATCAGCTTCACTCTGTGTATTATTTTAAAAAAGTAGTGATATAGTGATATCAAGTTGTTTTTGACAAATATTAACTGAATAACAATAATTTTAATTACTTACACAATCATGTACTGCTCGCTTTGAGGTCTTTTTTGCAGTATCTGATATAGCAAAGCAAATTACATGTATTACATAAACAACAAAAAAATAGAGTAGTGAAGAGAGCCTAATGTGGCATTTAACTCACAAATCATTGTCAATGATCACTGACAACAATTATTTATTCACATAAATTTGTTTTTATGAATGAAGTACACAAAGGAACACAAATCACAATGCTACACCTCAATCGTCATTGAAAACATGTACAGTAATTGACTCTTTATAGTTTTACAGTATAACGTCTGTCATGTTTGTATAATCCATAGATTTTGGGTCTGGAAAATGTGACTGAAATAATTTTAGCCTTTTAAATAATTTCAGCTTTTTATAACACTTACCTTTAAATGGTTTACATACTCTTGAGTTGCATATGAGGAACACATTTCCAATGACCGAAATAGCCAAACAAACTATTAATATTGCCGTTAAAATGAATCCTGATTGTGTTGGCTGCACTACAGAAAACAAACCAAGAATCAATTCTCAAAAACTGTTATCAGCTTGGAATATATATTATATACAGTATAGATTAAAGTACTTAAGACCAAATACCTTCGATGTCCAGTTTAGTTCCATTTCCAAATAATATCTCCCCACATGTGGCCACAGCACAGTAGTAGGTCCCAGCGTCAGAGGAGCTGACATTCTTAGAGAAGCGATAAACACATCTCTCCTCTGAGTCTGATATTCTCTCACTTTCACTGTGTCTGTTTCCATCAGTGTAGATGATGCTTGGGTGTAATGGATCTGATCCAGCTCTGAACCAGAACACATTATAATCTCTGGGACACATCTGGTCAGAGTCAGAATAGACTGAACACTGGAGAGTCATTGAATTTCCAGAGTGCAGTGGATTTAACACTGTTGGCCATTGAACAACAGTATAATCTGATGCTGTCTCGTTATTTCCTGTGGAATACAAAACACAAAAATATTCTTTATAACATGACCAAAAACACCTTTAAAGTTTATAAAAGTAGGACAGTGTATGACTAACTTACCTTTTACTAACAAATATGTTCCAGTCCATTCAGGATTAATCCACTCTATCATTCCACAGTGATAGATTCCCTCATCATCTTGGACTGCTTTCAAAATGGTCAGGTTGCTAAATTTCTTATCATAATTTGCTTGAAATCTTGATTTAAATGTTTCTTGACCATACTGAGGTGTTTCAGTTTTTAACAGTGACACTATTAATTTGAGAGTATCTCCGACACTCTGCTTGTACCAGTGGACTCCTTTACTGCTGACCCCATCGGGAAAAGCACATGTTATGTTCGCTGGTTCACCAAGCTGAACAATTTTCACTGGAACTAGAGTATCTGAATTAGAATATAGAAAAGTTAAAGTTTTCTCTACACATCTATTTGACATTAAATTCTCAATTTTGAACATTTTTAGTAAAGTAAAATGCTCACTTACATCCTTGATGAAGTAAAAGCAATATAATCCATAACATGACCATCGTGACACTGCTCCTTGTTGAGGACTTTGCTGGTATTTCACAGAATGAAGGAGGTGAAATCACTGTATTCGGTAAGACAGTAAGATGCTTCTGATTGGTCAGTATGGAATAGATTCAAATGTAGACTTCCTGTCACATTTGCCTCCTCCTGGGCTTTGCAAAAGCTCTCATTTTCTTTCATCTTGTATTGTAACTGCTCATTTTGTTAACTCGAACACTGTTCCCTACATGTTATAGTTATTCTTGTTAAAAACTATTCTTGATAAAACTTAAGCCCTAAAAGTGTAATCAGCACAGTTCTAACTGCTGTTTGTAGTATTTACTGCAAGAAATACCTCAGAAAAACATCACTTTTTTCATTTCAAAGGAAAGTTGGTAAGTTTAATGTTCATTTTGACTTATCATTGCATTTTGTACCTTTAAAGAGCTGACGAGAAGGCCTGAACTCATGTTGCTTCACTGAAGCAAATGATTTAGCCTTTTCAAAAACCAAAGCTCATGGGCATTTTTGGGAGCAAATTACATAGCAAACAGCTTAGTAGTTATTTAAATACTTAAAACACACAAACACACACACACACACACACACAAACACACACACAAACACACAAACACACACACACACACGAACCCCATGGTGAAGTTAGAGGCTTGAAAACTTACAATGATTTCATGATTTCTGCAGTTTCACAACAGGTATCATGTCAATAGTTATGATATCACATCTATACATGTATGGTAAGAAAATTTTCCCTCTGTATAAGGCTCTGTATAAACTCTCATCAAGTGGGTGTTTGAGCATCAAATGAATTTTGTTCTGCATGATACATGCTTTATCCATGCCCCCATTTGAAGTAAGAAATGAAAAAAAAAAGTTAAAATTGTACAATGTGTCATTCATGAAGATTTCGCACACACACACACACACTGTATATATATATATATATTAGGGGTGCAACGATATTCGTATCGATATTGAACCGTTCGATACAGTGCTTTCGGTTCGGTACGCATATGTATCGAACAATACAACATTTGTAATTTATTTTATCAACTTTCCTTCTGACGATGCTGTCTGTGTTGAGCGCTCAGTGAATCTGCGTTCGACTACTCCGCCCAGGCTGCACTGTCGAGCGCAGATCCACTGAGCGCTCAACACAGACAGCATAGTCAGAAGGAAGAGCGCAGGGCAAGCTAGCAAGACACATGGACCTCCCCCACCCTCATTCAGATCTGGCGTTTGGAATTATTTTGGTTTTCATGTGACGTATGACCCTGAAGGTAAGCGAGTCATGGACTAAAGTAAAACAGTATGTTGGATGTGCCATGCAATGCTCAATTACATGGGTGGGAGCTAGTGTGTTAGCGCAGTTAGCTCGTTAACGTGTTGGCTGTCTAGCCCCACACACGGGGAGATCGGCAGTAGCTCGTTAACGGAGATTTGCCGTGTTGTGGCGTTAAGGTCATTTCAACGAGATTAACCTGAAAGCACTAGTGGGAACACAACGAATATGACTGCACATTTACGCCGACATCATCCTAGTGCAAAGACAAAAACAACAAGCATGCTACTAACTTTAGCCGAGTCATTTAGACAGCTGTTAGCACATGATTCTCCTTATGCTGCTGAGAATATAGCCCAGAAGAAGCGGATAGTATAGCTTTTATTTTGGAAAGAGACATTTCTCTGTAATAAACTCTCTTTTCGAAAGAGGAGTGATTCCTCAATCAGATACAGGGCTCGCAATATCGCTAGCCCGACGTCCTGGAGCTAGCGATTTTTTTCAGTCGGGCTACCAAAATCTATCTCTGCCCTGCCCGTCGGGCTATTGTAGGAAGGAAAAATATATGTCAATGCTTTTGCATTCTTTCAGAAATGTAGCTGGGTAATTATGTCATTGGCATCTGTGAGCCACTGTCAATATGTGACATATTGAAATCGCGTTTAAATTTGTGCTTGTTTTTTTGCTTTCACTTTGCAATCGTGCGAACTGTGTATAGAGAGCGACAGCACTGATCTGTGAGTGATGATAATTTGCGCACCAATTCCTCTGACATCGTCTTATTAATCGTTAGCTTACTATGCAAACATGACAAGTGAAATCTCCCACAGCAAGCTTAAACATGTGAGAGGTTGATCGCGCAGAGAATCGCTGAGCTTATGTGAGTCCGTGTGTAAAAGTAGCAGTATATATATTTTAGTTCTGCTGAGCCAAATAAGACAGGTCAGGGTGAAGAAGTGACAGCCAAAGAAAAGCTTACCACAAAACGGAGAAGTTATGACAAATCAGACTATAAGGCAAAAAGAAAGTGCAGCTTTATGGTTTCATGGACAAAATAATTTCTGTGGCTGCAATATGACGAGCTAAATAACCAGGGCTGCACATAAGTGGTCCGCAGGTGCGCATTCGCTGTCAAAATAAAAAACACGCACAAGGGTTAGGGTTAAATTTAAAAACTGTACTTTTGAGTTAAAATATAAATTTATAATTTTAATAAATGAAAAATTAAAAAGGCATGAACATTTTTTTTGTATCGAAAAAATATCGAACCGTGACACCAAAGTATCGAACCGAACCGAACCGTGAATTTTGTGTATCGTTGCACCCCTAATATATATATATATATATATAAAATGTATATTCTGTGACTGGAGTCCACCCCGGGGTAAAACATGTGTGAAACGCCCCAAATAGAAGGTGTCAAACAGGCGTCCACGTCAGATACCCACACACAACCTTGTTGACTCCTTCTAATGTCGCAAAAGCAGAAATTGTACCTCTACTCTGATCCCCTATCGAATAATTCACTTCACACAGTCACTAAAACTTAGTTTAAAAGTCTTGAGATGTTTTTTTTATTTACTACTAGGATGTCATGGTCATAAATAAAGGAACAAATTTAGAAAGGTAATTCTCAGCTGTCTCTTCAACACAACACAACTGTCCAGGTTACCCTCCATGACACTGAGCCTTTTATGCAAATATCGACATGTGTTATATTGTAATTTGTAATTGTAACTGTTTTAAACAGTTTCCTGCAAAATTATTAGCTATTATTTCACATCTATTTGAAATTATATCCTAAGTACATTTCCTGTCGAGAACATTTTTAGACACTACACTAAAGACCATTTATATCCTAGGAGAAGAAAAGGCAATGTAATCCTTAGCTGCTTATTGATTGATGTGGTTATTTGAAATCTGTGAAATCTGTGATTATCTGAAATCTGTGAAAGACACTTATGATTGGAACATCAAATAGTGCAAAAGTACAGTTATTTCATATGTCTAAGCGGCTAGTTACTAGTCTAGTAACTACTAGTTGTTATGTACTGCAAGAAATAATTAACATTCACATTACAGAGTAAACTTACAGGTTGAACCTGTTATTTGTCTGGGTGTGTGATGTTTTGTCCTTCAAAGGTGTCAAAGAGCAGTCTGAATGACTGCCCTTCACAAAGTGAGCTACATTAGCCCCTTCATGAGCCAGAAAAAAAATTTACATTTTGTTAAGCTAATTCTGTGTCTTTTAAGAACTTTTGAGTTAAGTTGACAGTTTTCAGTAAAATTAGGAATACGTTCTTTATATTTTTCCATTTTCAATGAAAGAAATAAGTGTTAAAAGACACACTTTTAGTTTCCAGTGCGTTCTAATTTCTTCCTTCCTCCTGTAGTTTTACTTCCTGACAAATGCAGTGCAGCATAGTTCAGCTAATGTCCACCTTCCACCTTCAGTCTATACAAAATAGTAAAAATCATACTGTTATATAAAGCTACTGGAAATCTTTTCCCTGAATTAACAAATATGATTTAGCCTTATCACTTACATGTTCATTGACAATTCTTTGCCTGACAATTTTACTTTTTTTAGTTTAAAATGAACTTACTGACTTTCATATGTATAAATGTAATGGTGTGTACATTGAGTAGCCAGTATAAAGTGTGCAAAAGCATATAACATGCATTATTTTACATTGATCAATGGATCCATATCTCCGATAGAGTTTGCTCAAGTCTAAAACTTAAATGACCATAAGTGAAGGTTGCAAAGCGCACCTATGGGGTCGTTTGTGATTTGTGGAACATTTTTGCTGCACAGCTATTTAGTGAGCTTCCAGCAACTTCAGATAGAAGAGAATGTAAATTCTCACTCCTTCCCAGACAACAAATTCTCTTTTTTTTGTTTTCTTTTGTGCATTTGCAAACAAGGGAAAGATCATAATCCCAAAAAGTTAATTCTGTTCATCTCGACGTAGCGTTTCTGAAATAACTGAAACTAGCACCACTGGTGAAAACTGCAAACTGTCATGACCATTGTTCAACAACCACTGATCAAATAAAATTGATCAGCGTGTTTTGACAAAGTAGGCCAGTGACCCGCGTGCAGTATGTTTTGGGGTTTAAAAGCCACAGAGATGAGGTGTTTAGAGAAAATGCTTCTCGACTGCTCCAATACTCTTGACACATATGGGATCACTAAGGGTTTTCCCTTAGGCAGCAGTTATCCTTCTTGTGTCCTGGATTGCCTGGAGCTTACATTGGTTTATGGTATACATCACCTTTTATATGTCCCACATTATTGATGGAATCTCACAGTCTAAGAAGGCTAACCTGTCATTTTCATAACCTCCCTGGTGAACTTGATGTGTTTGTCCACAGAGTTAATGTGATCCCTGAATGTGGTAGTTCCTGAGATTTGAGCTTCACCCAGGTGTTATCCACATACCTGAACCAATGACTTGGTGGTTGTTGGGTCTGTCTAGCACAGGCCCACCGCTGGAACGAGTACAGTTTAACTACACAGCCAAAAGCATTGAACACCAAGTAGGCAAAGTTGTTCGTGTTACTCATGCATGAGGGAGACCTGCCTGGAGCCAAGTGTTGTTCCACCCACTTGACCTCCGTCAGACTCTCAGCCAGGTTCCCCATAGCACTCCTTTTATTGAGCTCACATTGATATACATAGGTTCATTAACATATGACATCTTACATACATGT